TGCCTCCCTTCCCACAAATAGTCTCTCTCCTCTAACAGAATTAGCCACTTCCAGATTGCCCCTTTTTAGCCCTCCTAGTATAGACTTTTAACACTTTCTCTCTAACTATTTTATCACGATCCCTATCATATTTGATTTTTTTCTTTCTCGTTTCTCTTATTCACTTATTCAAATTCCCTAACTCTTTCCTATATATATATGGTCCGACTCCAACTGCTGTAGAACTCGGGCCAGTGGGGCCATGAAGCTCATGTCCAAAAGGAGCCGAGATTTGAAAAAAAAAACAAAGGAGTTGGAGAGACTAGATTATTTTTAGATCCTCGTCTGTAAATGGTTCTTGGTAACAATTTTAAGGCTTGGAAGTTGGTCCTATTGTGAGATAAGCCATAAGACCTGATTTCTGTCCCTCCAGGAGATGCATCTGGAGGTGGCCAAGATTCAAAGCACTAAACATACAATCAACAACACATATCCTACCGTATCCGTCTCTCATGTTGAGTATCCATGTCCAATATTTACTACAGCTGGTCCGTTATGATTGGCAATGTTCTTCCTTGCTTTGTTTTTTTTTCTTTTTTTCTTTTATTACTATTGTTATTGGTGCGATTCATTGCAACTCCTCTGAGGTTTTGGTTAATCCTGAGTTCTACTTGACGGGGTTGTTGATTTCCTTGCAAAAATAATTGATCTCTGACGATTATAGAAAGGATACAGGTCTGGTGTTTCATATTTGTTATAGTTTGCTAGATGTAGAAAATGCTCATTGTTTTTCATATTGTTGTTATTGCAGATCCATATAGTGGCGAAAACTGCAGGTATGAATCATAACCTGTGGGTTGAGAATGCTGATCGTTTGGTTGCTGGTTTTCTTGAAATGTTTGAAGAAGGGTGCCATAAAATGGTGAGGTCTTAGTACAACAGATACATAGATGTGAAACATGTTTTAACTTGATTAAACCCCTGTTCGTATAACACATCGGCTATGGTGTCTCACAGGGAACGGCAATCAGAGATCGGATTCAAGAACAATTAAAGACCAAGGGAAACGTGGGCGTACTCCCATATGACAAGGACGACGACGATGATGATGAGGAGGATGATGAAGGTGAGTATTATTATGACTATAGCACCGAGGAAGAAGTGTACTCGGATGGAGGAGGTGAAGTTGAAGCAGCATCACAATGAGTGAAGTTTGTTGTTTTAGTTGTTGAAGAGAATGTAGGGTGGATTACATACAAGAGTATATGTAAAGCTAATGAGTTGATGTAGGTGGGATGAAATTTGATGTGCATTTGGTTTGGAGTGTAATATTAAATCATAAACTGTTGGCTTGTTTAGCTGCATATGGCACATACTTATATCATCTCTCTTTGTAGCATGATGCTGTTTCAGCATCGGTGATTCACAAGCAGGTCTTAATGGAATCCTTCGCATTTTACAGAATTTCTGCTTATAAATGTCACTTTGTAACAATTGAAATTATCTACTGAAGCAAGAACTGAGGCTCATGAACAAAAAGAAACAGTTGTATATATAATTTCATGTGGTCGTTAATCTTCCGTCTCCTATTCTGCGGAGACTGGTCTTTGGGGCTGGGGCTGGGGTGGTCCAGAGGTTTTCGGGTACGCACTGTGTCTGTCTTTTACAGGTTTTGCAAGTTCCACGAATAATACTCTGCCATCAACATACTGCAAGAAAACAAACCAAATGTGTGAAACAAATCACCCAAGATAGGGTCAGGTTCAAGGGAAGTCGTAAAAGATTGAAAACTGAGGAACACCTTTGTAACTTTTCATTTAAATGGTATGCACATATGCATAAAAACCAAAAAACAACTTCAATTACTTGTATGTACATGCGCATATCGTCTAGATGAATGATTACCAGAGTGTTCCTCGGTTTTTCACTTTTTTGGGGGGTTTTCCTTTGAACCTCCTTCTCTCTCTATATATATATAGACGGAAAGAAAGAAACTTAACCTTCTCATCCATGGTTTCTAGGGCGTTCATGGCATCGTCTTGATTCGTATATTGAATGAATGCATACCCTTTTGATTTCTTTGTGGTTTCATCCTTAACAAGCTTAACTATACACAAGTCAAGGTTATATGGTTATGGTTAAATGTTATTCTTGGCAAACTTCTATTATAAGAATATAGAAAATGCATATGCAGACCTTCAGCTATCTGCCCAAAATTCGAAAATTGTTCCTTTAAACAGGTTTCACTGGTAGAGTATGATAAATCTGCAATTGAAAATGAAAAGTTAGAATATTTTGTCTAAGATTATCGAGTAGAAAGGACCACGAAAGAGACCAGAAAAAAAAGCCAATTTCAAGAGATCGCAATTGAAGATCCATATTCATCCGGTAAGGTAATATAACTTGGTAAGCGCTTAAGCTTTTGGTAAAGGGCCCCTTAGTTACATCAAATTTGGTATTTGTTTCTCCTAACATGACTAGGAAGATTTTATTGAAACCCTAATTTTGTAGCTTCCTTTTCTTATCTGTTTAACAACAACTCAAATTACAGTTGTACGCTTTCCATCTAAGAATAATTCTCTTCTGCTAAAGGTTCCATTCAATGATAAACCATGGTTAATTTCCTCATCTTTATTGATTTATGGACAGTTAAACACAGTGATTATGCACATAGATAGATAGATAGATAGATAGATAGATACAGAAACATGTATGTATAAATTGATGAGGAGAGAGATGACTTACTTCTGACCATGATTTTGCTAGCTAGAGGGTATTCGATGAAAGACGCACGAAGCTTAAAAGATTTGGGATTTGGAGATGGTGATCTTGTTCCGATTGTGGGTCTCAACCATCCAGTCGCTGAAATCATCGCCACACCCAAGACTCGCTCGTTTTCTATGAGAATGAAATTTGGCAAAAAGATTCTTCTTTTTCTACCTTTCACTAGGTGTAAAACCATATTTTCTTATGTTTTTTTACTTATCAACTTATTATAACTTAGAAAAGTTTAAAAGTTCTTTATTACTGGTTTGTCATCGGTATAAATTATTTATCCAAACATTTGAAAGTGTTTATTACCAACACTACACCGGAATAAGTCGATAAGTTGTTTTTATAAGCAATCCAAACACCTAATATAAGCAATCTCAAACACCTTAGGGTGTTTGGATTGCTTATTTAAAACTTCTTGTATTTTTTCTTTTATGTGTTTATTTATAAAAAGGTGTTTGGATTAACCACTTTAGGATGGTATTCTTCTTCACCGCGGTCGTGATCTAATTTGCTCAAATGACATCTCTTTATTTCTTTACGACTTGCACTCGTGTAAACTTCATGAAACATTTTAACTTGTTGGTTATTGTATGTGATTGATTTGTTTTTACTTGCATAGGATGTATGTGTGTTAATTAAACTTCTTTGTGAATGTCTTTAGTAGTGGCAGATTCAGGAAATTAATGGGGTGGGGACACGTTGGATGAGATTTGGAGAAACCATGTAAGACGAGAGCGAAAATAGAAAATTTAAGCTAATCAACAAAGGTTTTTGGTTTTTAACTGGAGGCCTTTTCTCCGGTGCGTAAAGGTTGTATCTACCCCTAGTCTCTAGGATAGGACCAACTTACATTGATGGTTGTTATGGGGTAGAATCACCTCAAGCATTGGATTTTTTAGTCAACTGAACATTTTCATTCTATGACGTTACTTAAAGTTTATTAGGATGTGTGGTACGGTTAGAGACACCATTTACGAGAACACCAATATATATAGGGTTGGGTTCCGGTGACAAGAAAAGTTAATGTGAAAAGCGTAAGAAAGGATCTCCACCATTAGATGTACATTAGGACGAGATGCACCCTATCAATCACCGTATGAAGCGCGTTTCATGGGTAAGTTTAGATTAAAGGTGATCAAGGGTCCAGATCTTTCTTACGCTTATCACTTTAACTCTCATTCTCACACGATCCTTCATCATATATATATAAGCAAAATATATATAGATATGAGTTCAAGTGAGAACATCACCATCGGCGGCAAATCCAAGATTTTTACCAAGCAAATGCACCTTTAAAGTGTATCAAAGGCTTACAAAGTTGTTTGTGTTTTTAGCTGAATCTTACTATTCCGAGGATCTTTTTATGGTTTTTTGGTTGATGTTCCCAGTACTTTCTAATATCCCATGGCACCCTTCAAAGTTTAGCGGGTTCACCTTTCATATCTAAAAAAATTCTAGTAGTAAATATCAGTTGAGTGGGTGCACGAGATCTGACTCGGGCCTTCATAGGTCTTCCCTAGATCATCATTTTACAAAAATGCAAGAATACTTTTTTGTTATTGTCAATCACATGTGATAGTAAATCAAAGATGCAGACGATCTTCAACACAACCTAGGTTGGCCATGCCGCTTACCTACCATTAGGTCCTCTATCTATGGTGAAAGAATGTTTTCGTATTTTCATAAAATGAAAGTGTTCTTGTTTGAGCTTTATATATATATATATATATATATATATATATAGAGAGAGAGAGAGAGAGAGAGAGAGAGAGAGAGAGAGAGAGAGATATAGATGGGGAGGGGTTTGGGGCCCAGGATAGAATGACATGTAGTAAGGTCCCTGACCCATGACTTTAGGTGGGCTTTTGAGTAGGGCTTTTCTGCATCCTGATCTAGACCAATCGTGCTGTAGCTATGAACTGAATCAGCTGATTTTTATCCAGCCATTTTCAAACACTTGTGTCTTAAAAAAAAAAATAGACAAAGCATAGTGTATGTATTTTGTTATAAGTTATAAATTTGATCTATATATATTTATGAATAAATTAAGCCCTTTTTTTTAGTAAAGCATAATATTTTAACTTCTAATTTCATATTTTCATCTCACATCTACATTATCTTATAAAACTCTTAGAATTTCAAATCTACAACAACTATAAAACATTAGAAGGGTACTCGTGCAATACATCGAGACATATCTTGATTTCAGTATTTCGTTTTATTTTCTTTTTATGTTGATATAATATGGTTTTATTTGGTTTCGAAAAAACGATAATGTTTTTTTAATAAAATATAAATTTGAAAATATCATAAAATTTTGAAAAAAAATATATTGATATCAATATCAAATTAATCTTTTTAAAAGTTCTTGTGTTTTAGTGTAATTTCTTTAATTCAATTATTTTAATTATAATTTAATTTAGGTTTACTAACAAAGAAGTTTAATTTAGATTTAATAATATATATTTTTATGAAGATAATAATTAAGTATTCTGTTAGAACTCAATGATTATCCTAATTATATTTTAGATTTTTTATATTTAAATTGAGATGCTTATCCAGTATTTGATTATGTTTATTTGCATTTAGTTACACGAATTCAAATATGGAGCTCTAATAAGTTGTACTTATGCACAATTTACTTGGAATCTTAAATTTTAAGTAATATACATCAATAAACGATACTTCATGCATAAAAAATGGTTTTAAGAGCTTTTGTCAAATGCTTTATAATATAGCATAGATTAACTACATAACTAATTTTCAATATACGATTTAATTTTATACATTGCAATATTGCGGAGTTACATAACTAATTTAAAAAAAAACCGTTCACAAAATGGTTTCAGGTTGGTCTTTTTTAGGATAATACTATTCTTTCATCGCTTGAATTCATTACAAAAATGTTCGATATTTAATTAAATATTCAGATCATCTTTCTTTAACATGTAACGTATAATAAATAACTTATTAACAAACTAATGAAGATTAAGTGACAAAAAATGTATATAAATTTCGACTAAAAGACTTAGTAAATAAGTCGACTAGAATACAACAGAAGAAATTTCTGCTGCTTAATTATATTTGCTAATTTTATTAAGATGTAAATATCTGAAAGTGAATCCAATGCAAATATCTCCACCTTGTCCAACCTGTTTAAATCGTAAATGTTAAAAAAAAAAATTCTTTTAGATATTATTTTTTGTTTAATAAAATTAAAGTTTACATAAGCGCTGGTGTGAAAATAATATATAATGAGTAGACAACTAATTAATTACAAAATATTAATATATATATATTAGAAGGGTATTCGCGCAATGCAGCGAGATAAATCTCGTTTTTTAATGTGTAGTTTTTATGCTGTCTTTATCGATATAATACGATTTTATGTGGTTTTGAGAAAACGATAATGTTTTTATTTTTGAATGAAATATAAATTTGAAGATAATATAAAAATTTGAAAAAAATAAATCAATATTTGTATCAAATTAACTATTTAATAGTTCTAGTTTTTTTGATGTAACTTCTTTAAATCAATTTTTTATTATATATTAATTTAGATTTAATAACAAAGTAATTTATTTTTGGTTTAATAATATAATCTATACTATATTACTTAAAATTCAAGATTATAAGTAAATTATACATAAGTACAACTTATTAAAACTCTACGTTTGAATTCGTGTAACTAACTACGAATAAACATAATCAAATAAATGATAAACATCTCATTTTAAAATATAAAAAAT